TAATCATGGTTGCTGACGGTTTTTCTCTGATTGAGTAATATCACTTGATCAAGCCTTTCATACACCCACACTTCGAAATAGGCAAAAGTATGTGCGATTTGTACTGATATCGTATCGGGTTGATATCGGTCAATAATGAAGGCTGCAATATCGGTTTCTTACCGGAAGTGAAAAAGTTGTATCGGGACATCCCTATTTAAAACACACCCTTATTAATTCATTGATCTAAAATGACCAACGTCGGTTCAAACTGATGTATCTGAACCTACAACTGAATGTGTGTATGTCAGAGTTGGGGCTCCTTACAAACGTGTATTTATGTGTACATTTTATATACATGCTTCAAGCCAGTCGTGTCAGCTCGTCAGACGCAGACATTTACTGTAATTATAGGTTAAAGCTGAAGCATTCATAAGCCTATCATATTGATGATGATTCTGTCGCCTCTCTGGGTGTAAACTCTTAATTATATAGGTGTCTGAAGAATGTCTGTCTGGGTACAAAACTCCACTTTTCAGTTCATTGACCCCTGCTTTAAAAGCAGGAGAGAATGTTTTATTTAAAACAAAGAAACATTACCAGTTCTTATGAAACGTCATCATCAAGGTAAAACATGCACCCCAACAGCATCCTCATACAGCAAGAAACATTTATTTATGTGAACTAATTCCTAGGAATGTTTATGTTTATTTATTTGGCAGACACTTTTATCCACATGGGCAGTCTCGCCTTGGGCACCAAATTACCTAGAGCCGGCCCTGTCCAGTACATAATTTATTACATGTCCACTTCAGTGGGCAGCGTGCATTCTGAGCATGAAATATGTTGGCTTGGCTTACTGAAGTCCAAACGGAGGGGCTCAAATGCAATAAAGTCTTCAACAGCTGTGCTTAATAGCAAAAAACAAATAAATAACAATTTTGAGTACCTGTCCACTGTAGTGACCGTTATGCATCAAAGGGTTGAAATAAAAAAATTGTAACTAAGGAATAACTGTGGAGTTGCTTTTTCCAATGTGTGATGGGTGGGTGGACTTTGGTTTGGGTGAGAGGCATGCAGGCACGGGTGGGGGTGGGGGGGGGGGGCACATGGGCAGTCTCGCCTTGGGCACCAAATTACCTAGAGCCGGCCCTGTCCAGTACAAATCAGAGACCTGTCATCTACAGAAATACTCAGATGACTGAGTACAGAGAGCTGGTGGAGCGCTTTGTGGCGTGGTGTGGAAACAATCATCTGACCTTGAACGTGAACAAAACAAAGGAGATGATTTTAGACTTCAGAAGAAACAGGGTGGAGTCAAACACTGTTTCCATCATGGGAGAAGAAGTGGAGGTGGTTGAGGAATACAAATACCTTGGAGTTCACCTGGACAACAGACTGGACTGGAGAAAGAACAGTGAAGCCGTTTACAAGAAGGGACACAGCAGACTGCACTTCTTGAGGACGCTTAGGTCCTTCAATGTCTGTAGCAAGATGCTGCAGATCTTCTACAAGTCTGTTGTTGAGAGTGTAATCTCTTCAGCCATCGTCTGTTGGGGTAGCAGCATCAGAAGCAGGAACCTGAAAAGGCTCAACAGCCTAATAAAAAAGGCTGGTTCTGTTCTGGGGACGACTGTGGAACTGCTGGAGGAGATGATGCAAAGAAGGATTCTCCAGAGAATCAAGAACATGATGGACAACCCTGAGCATTCTCTTCACAAGACTGTCCGACAACGGAAGAGTGTCTTCAGTCAGAGGCTTCTTCAGTTTGGCTGCAACACTGACCGCTACTGGAGATCCTTCCTGCCAACAGCCATTGTAATATACAACAACTCTTTGATGACTTGATTATTATTATTATTATTCTGAGCTACTACAGCAATCAGTTTCCCACTGGGATTAATAATTTTTGAAGTGAATTGAACTGAATAGAAGAAGAGCAGTGCCAGAACCGGAAATATATTCTCCATACACAAACAACTTCTGGTGGTGGTGGTGGTGGTGGTGGGGGGGGAGGTCTAACAGGGAAATGAATGAGATTTTGTTGATCTGATGACATCATCATCTATTGGCAGAGTAGATGTTGATTGAGGCCCAGCTGGCGATGAATGAAGTCCATCTGGTGGTAGTTGAGGCCCAGCTCGCTGTAGTTGGGGTCTAGCTGATGTTGATTGGGGTCCAGCTGGTAGTGGTTGGGGTCCAGCTGGTATTGGTTAAGGTCCAGCTGGTATTGGTTGTAGTCCAGCTGGTGATGGTTGGGGTCTAGCTGGTGTTGGTAGAGGTTCAGCGGGTATTGGTTGAGGTCCAGCTGGTAGTGATGATGATGTGAAGCCTTTTGAACCAACAAAGCTTTACAATCCAATTGTATTGAAAAAAGGTTCAAGGTTCGATGCTTCAAAACTCTGTGAGGACATCTGCTGGTAAATGTTTGTATTTCATTGTATTGTCAGCCAATTCTACTGAAAATGAATGGTGTATTGAACTTTATGGACAAATAAAGCATTAAAAAGCTTCCTCAGGATCATATAATAAAAGTATCTTGAATTTGAACATTACATTAAATATACTAAATTGCTTTTCTTGGTGTGAATACTTGAAATGAAACAATGTTCATTTTTATGGGATACGTGATGAAATATATCTAATTTACACATATTAACATTCTCTACATATTCAAATATTTTACTTTTCACATTTTTATTGGATTATTAGGCAGGAATAATTAGCTCAATTTATGTATCTTTTTTAGAAATAGAGTAACAAAATGAAGATTAGAAAATTCACATAAGGATAGGACATACTAAATTCCATTACACGTACAACCAAACGGAAAAGCTCATCAACTATTATATTAATTACCAATAAAAGAAGAAAAATCATACCAAACTAGATTTTAATTTAGTTAAAGGAAAATGACAGACAGTCTAAAAGATATAGCCCTACAATATGCACCAAGTATTACTACTATAAAGGTAACTTACAAGACTAGACCAAATACATTTTCAAACCTTATTTGGAGAGATTAAATTGAAACATTCCCACATCTCAGAACGCCCTCTTTTTGCTACAGGATCCATTTTTGCGACTCTGTGTTTAATCACTGAATACTGAATCCTGAACCGTCAATCTCAGGTCATACAAACCTGCGCCTCTCAGTTTGCGTTGCTTTAAATGTTTGAAACAACGTGTGAAGCGGTCACATGGGTGGAAGGGTGAATCAAAGCGTCGTTGCTCATTGGTCACGTGACTTTCAGTAAACAAATCAAGCTCCGACACAGTGCTTTGCTCTGCGGTGGTTCGTTTTGGTGATACAAGCTTCGAATCCTGCGTGTCACAGGTAACATCACTACCAGCTGGTGATGGTTGGAGTCTAGCTGGTGTTGAATGAAGTCCATCTAATGTTGATTGAGGCTCAGCTTGCAATAGTTGGGGTCCAGTTGAAAGTGGTTGAGGCCCAGCTCGCGGTGGCCCAAATAGCGGTAGAGGTAGCCCAGGTTGCAATTGACGCACCCCATGCCGCAGTGCAGGTAGCCCAGGCAACAATAAGGGTGGCCCTGGTAACAGAGTAGATTGCTCAGACAGCAATGGAGGCAGCCCAGGTAGCAGTGAGGGCAACCCAAGCAGCATTAGAGACTGCCTAGATAGCAATGGAGATAGCTGAGGTAGCAGTGAAGGTAACCCAGGCAGCACTGGATATGGCCCAGATAGTATTGGAGGCAATCCAGGTAGCGTTGGAGATAGCCCAGGTAGCAGTTGAGGGTACGTAGCATCCAGGTATATGCTCCTTGACAAAGGACCTGGATTTATTTCAATATCTCCAGCCAAAAGCAGGACCAGCAGAAGGTGTTTAACTCCCAAGGAAGATTTAGACAGCTGCAACTGTTCATGTTTGCTGGGGGTGGCCTGGCATGGCCCTTACCCAATATTCTTGTGAAAAGTAAGTGATGACTCACCCTTCTTGGAAGGAGGGCTTGGTTGCTGTTTTCATCCTTGTTCCATGGAAAAGATAGGCATAGTAGTAGATGAAGACAAACGGAAATAGATAGCAGAGAAGTTGATGGCAAAATCCACCATCTTTTAGGTTTTTGAGTTTTTTTTTTTAGGTGAAGACACAGGACCTGCTAGACTGTGTGACTGCACCACGGCGGCCATCTTGCCACACCCAGCCATCCTCTGAATCAGAACAGCACTATACAAATGTGGGTCATTAAAATCAGTTTATTTACATAACACCAAATGGATCATTCCACAGACAACCTGCTTCTTTAATCCGACAAACCCACGTGCTCCCAGAAGACTCGGTCTGATGAGCTTCTTAAGGGTAAATGAACCTTTTTTCCAGTTTTTGTTTTTGTTTATTCTTTGTTCCTCTCTGTTGGCATCAGTTGTGGATTTCTTTCACAATAAGCAGACTTATTGGTACAAGAACATCACATTTCCAGAGTTTTTCCTTATTTACTGTCCAGTCCTTTCATCCTGCCTTCATGTGTAAGACTCGCTCTTTTATAATAATTGTCGTGTATGTTTTCCAATTATAAAGTCACATTATCTGATACTGGCAGAAAAACAAAGCGTTTTATTAATCAATAACAAATCTTTGAATAACCAAACTAAACATTGTAATTGTGGCACTTCTTTTGACAGCTGAGATAAATCTGTCTGGCGCTGCCGACTAAATCCCAATTATCTGGAAAAACCTCTGTCAGATGATCTTCCTTCTGTCTGCGAGGAAGCTGAATCATTGTCATGCCACTGAACATCTGTCAGCAGCTGTTTTTCCCCTCAACTTGTCCCTACATGTCCCTAAATAATCACCCCCCCCCCCACACACACACACAGTAAGCATGAGTGTGAAAACAGATCAAAATGTCTTCATGTTGTACTTTTTTCTTTGCATTTAGTGCATGAGGGCTCCAGCACACCAGCGACCACAGGAAGAGTGGGAGAAAAGAGGAGAGGTGGACCACGGAGCGGTTAACCTCATGACATCACATACCCAGCTGTGATTGGCTGCTGCTGGAGACTGAAGGGTTTATAAGCCCACCAGGAGCTGCAGTTTCAGCAGCAGCAGCCTCACCGGGCCGTGAACAATACTCGGAAGAGACTAGGAGATAAACTAAAGACCAACCGTCCGTGTGAAATCCTGCAAACAAGGTCAGAATGAATCCTCGAAACTCTGAATGTCTCTTTTGTTATTTAGGCTGAAGTTTAATTCTTATTATTACAAATGTGATTTTTCTTTGATTGCAAGCTGCTGTTTTCAATCTGAACTTTTATGTGATCCAATTCCATCAACAAGGCCAAACCAGAATCCTGACAGTTAGTGTCAGGATGGATAAAGGAGCTCATGCCGGCAGCGACAGCAGACATGGAACCAGACGAGCGGAGGCCTTAATTAAAACAGTGTGCTGATTTTTAACTAAACGCAGATCTCTTTTTGGGATGACACTAATAAAATAAAACCAAATTTAACCACTTCTAAACTGTCTTTTAGCATCTTGAATGAAAACGTCCCAAACCACTTGATCTAAAAGGTATTTATGTATTTTTACAGTGTAGAATTATTGACATTTACCATACCACCTTTATTTATATAGCACTTTAACAACACAGCCATACGGCTGACCAAAGTGCTGAACAGTCGCACAATAATAGAGATAAAAAACATAAAACAGTACTATAAAATACAGCCAACAATAAAAAAAGACAAGCTGACAAAAAAGTACCAATAAAACCAATAAAACCTTACAATGAACAATAAAATAAGAGTAGTAAAAGCCAAACTAACAGCTAACTATTAAAAGCAAGGGTAAAATAGTCTAGACTTAAAATCTGCCAAGGAGGATGCCAGTCGAACTGTGACTGGAAGTTCGTTCCACAGTTTAGGACCTGCGATAGAGAAAGCTCTTTGTCCGCATGATTTGTAACACACTTTCGGGACCTCGAGGAGCAACAGGCTGGAGGACCTGAGTGTGCGACCGGGAGTATAAATTGAAAGAAGGTCAGATAAGTACACGGGGGCAAGACCATGGAGGGATTTGAAAACAAAACGTAGCATTTTATATCGGACCCTGAAAGTGACGGGCAACCAATGAAGGGATTTGAGAACTGGTGTTATGTGCTGGCGCCCGTCAGTACGTGTGAGGAATCTAGCCGCTGCATTTTGAACGAGTTGAAGTCGGGCAAGGGTTGACTTATTGACACCCAGCAAAACTGCATTCGAGTAGTCGAGCCTAGATGTGATGAAGGCATGAACAACTGATTCCACATTTTTTCTAGATAAAACGGCTCTTAATTTGGACAGATGGCAGAGTTGGAAAAAACCAGATTTTACAGTGGCATTGACCTGGGCGTCCATCCTTAGAGATGAATCCATCTTCACACCCGGGTTCGTCACAACGGTTTTTAGATTTAGAGAAATAGATGAAAGATCTGGGGTTCACTGCAGGTAGACTTTCGTTTTTCTTTAGTATAACTTAATTTAATTCAACACGTTTAAGAAAATAAAATAAAAAAAATCACAAATTAATGATCACTAGTAAATGTACTTCAGTTTTTTTCATTAAAGTAATTTTCATGTTAAAAATTCTCTTTTACTGTTCAGAGCTGAGCTCAGGAACTGACTATTTAACCACACCGGGACATTTTCTCCTTTGTTAAATATTTATATGATGATTTTAAGGCAAACTCTTCTTCTTTTCTTTATTTTTGTTGAAGACAAATTCAACCAGCGATGTTTTCCTCCTATAATAATGGCCTGTTAGCACATTAGCATGGAAAGATAAAATTAATACTTACGAGCTTGTTTTTATCACACCAAATTTCTAGGTTGAAAGTCCGAACTTGTGGGGAAAATAATCATTCGTTTCTCAAAATGTTCAGAGTGGCGTGTCTTCTCCTGTAAGGCTGTAACTTTTATCTAGCTCAGCGAAGTCTAAACATCGAAATCGCGTTTAAAAGATGTGGGCGTGGCCAAAACGTCACTAAGACTCTTACGTTTAAAATAACACATAAAGCACAGCAGCTAGCAAAACCTAAACAAAAAATTAAATCATAATCCTCAAAACAAACAGATAGGGATGCAAGAACACACACACGTCTGTTTTTCTATCATTGTGAGGACCCCCCATTGACTTCCATTCATTTTTATGATTTCACCATGCTTAACCCATACCCTAACCCTAACCATAACCAACGCTGATCTATTCCTAACCTTATCCTTGACTAAAACTTAATTCACACCGTACCTCTGACTGGTATAGTAAGCGTCTGGGAAGCTTCTAAAAACAGTGTGCACCAAAAAAATGTCAAAAATGGTCAAAATGGTCCTCAGTATGTAATATGTAAACACACACACACACACACACACACACACACACACACACACACACACACACACACACACACACACACACACACACACAGCTAATATTTGTGCCCTTACACTGTACATTAATTATCATTATTCACTTAAAAAAAAATCCAAACTCGAACACAAACTGGTGAAGAGACGGACCTTAATGGGCTGCATGGTGGCGCAGTGGTTAGCACTGTTGCCTCGCAGCACGAAGGTTGCAGGTTCGAAACTCGGCTGTGGCCTTTCTGCGTGGAGTTGCGTGTTCTCCCCATGCATGCGTGGGTTTCCTCCGGGTACTCCGGTTTCCCCCACAGATCACAACATGCCCTATAGGTTATAAACTGTAAGTCGCTTTGGATAAAAGCGTCTGCTAAATAAATAAACATAAACATAAACCTTCACACACACACAGGCGCACACACCACACACACACAGGCGTGCGCACACACACACACACACAGGCACACACACACACACACACCACACGAGAACACAGACACACACACACACACACACACGCACGCACGCACGCACGCACACGCACGCACACAGACACACACACACACACACACACACACACACACACACACGAGAACACAGATTACAGCTTTTACTCTTGCTTTAATCTGACATAACCACCAAACCAAATTACAACGTAAAACTGCACATTTGTTGTGAAAACGAAGCCAAGCCAACAAAAAGTCCCAGACTCGATGGTCAAAAACGTTCTCCTCACCAACATTGTTTCACTCGAACACAGAAAGTTACAGCTTTGATTTATTATAACCATAAAACCAAACCGAGAGCCTCCAAGTTGACTTTGGTAGGAAAACTGTCCCCGGTTTCAAGGCAAAGAACAAAGATGGACGTGCAAGAACACAAACATGCAAGATGCAACCAGAAGTCCAGACAAACGTCCCCAAACCGGAGGTCAGACACCCCCACCAGACAAACTTCCAGAAATACCCACATGTAGTCCTCTGGGCGTGTGGTGTTTTGGCTGCGCTGTGGCTTTCCAGTTATAACCCCGAGAATTACACGCTATAGGAAGAGTCCATCATTAAGGACGGGAGCAGGAGACGAGCCTTTTCCTCCCACCGCCCACGGAAAGAGGAACTCTGTTACAGCGCTCCGTCGAGGGCAGCTGAACTTCCTGCTCCCGTTCCCTGTCTTCACAAACCAAGCTGCTGGTTTCTGTAGCAACACGTGAATCTAAACCCCGAATTTGGGTTTTCTTTAAGAGCGTAAATCCAAATGAAAGCTGGACTCAGGCTCTACATGTTTCCCCTTTAATTATTCTAGTAAAACGACCCTCAGCTCTTTTCGGGCAGCGCACCCATCATTTCCTCACAGCTTTTGGGCCAGGACCAGCCAGAAAGCTCTTGTTGCATAGTTTCAAAAACCGCGCGTCACAACGATGTGATTTTCTGTCTCTGATGACAGAAAACGCTCAACTTTCTCCAATCAGCATCTCATAACTGCCCACTTGGGCCTGTAATTAAAGCCTTAACGACTTCCTGTGACATACCAGCGCTGGATAACGGTCATGTGACCCTGCAGCATCCACTTTTAGGAAGGAATCTGGGTGCAGGCCCAGAGTGAGCTCTGACATGTCATTATGTTTGGTGTGAAGTTACGACCTCCAGGCATGTATTTTGGTAAGAGGAGCGCTGCGTATCGTGGTTATTTTTTATGGTTTGACTTCGTTAAACGATGAGGGTTTGCTACTGGACAATAACCTGGATGTTTCTGCTGCCGTTCCCAGTTCAGGCACCCAACGGCGACACAATGAAAGTGGCTGTTGTCTTTGTTCTGCTCTTCGCCGCAGTTCTCTGCAGGCCGGTGAGGCTTTTGTTTTCATCCAAGTAAAGATTTCATGCATTTTGTGCCTGAATAGAGACTATTTGTCTGTTTCGTAGGCGAGAAAAGTGTCTGACAGCAGTTCTGACAGCTCTGAGGAAGTGGTGAGTATCCAGACACAGCTAGGGGATGAAGGTCAGCACAGACATTATTAATGCTTTTATCGTCCACAGGTGAGACGACCAGCACCTCCAGCCGTTAGAAAACAGGCAGTGGTGGCTGCCAAGCATCGGGCCAAACCTGTGCAGGTAATAGTCCCCCTCCACGTTCCACACCGCTGTTGTTTCCACAACCCTAAACTCAGCTCTTCTTCACATGAACCTGAAGCCACTGAAGACTTTATGGTTGAACATCAAACTTAAAGACCGTACAGGAACGGACCGCACGACTCGTTCAAAATGAGATTCATTTGAACAACAAACACAGTAAACAGAATTAGGTGACACTTTAGTTTAGGGAACACAAATTAACTCAATTCAATTCAATTCAAAAATACTTTATTAATCCCAGAGGGAAACTGATTATTACCCTAACCCTAACCATTAATTAGCTGCCAATTAATATGCATATTAGTGGACTACTAAGTCTGAACTAGGCACTTATTAACAGCTTATTACTAATGCCGTAGTTCTAACATTAACAGGCCATAAATGAAGAGTTTTATCATAATAAGCCATTCATAAACGTTTATTAACTGTAAGTAAACGGTTTGTTGCTGATTAACACACATGCTAATTAGCTAAAATCATTATGTGGCTTTTAATGAAGTAATTCAAGGGGGACCTATTATTGCCTTTAGGTGGTTAATTAATACTAAACTACTAGTAATTAGGTATGAACAAATTCTGACTTTAGAATGGGGAACATGTTCTTGCTTACAAGTGGTTAATTGATTGTTGTTTAGGCTCTATTAACATGGAGTTTGGTGTTATTTACATAATACCAGAACATAATATGTTTGGTTATTAATGCAGAATTACTTCTTTAAAAGCCACATTTTGATTTGAGCTAATTAGCATGTGTGTTAATCAGCAACTAAACATTTACTTTCAGTTAACAAACCATTATGAATGGCTTATTATGATAAAACTCTTCATTTATGGCCTGTTAATGTTAGAATTACAGCATTGGTAATAAGCACCTAATAATAGCTTAATAATGACTAATTCTGACTTATTATGCATATTAATTGGCAGCTAATTAATGGTTAATTTGTGTTCCCTAAACTAAAGTGTGACCCAGAATTTTATCACCAAAAAGGCGACTTTAACCCTCAGAGACTTTTGTCCCATTGAACGTCTTCTGGACCTAAACAGTTCAGATGAGGTGTTAGCATTACTACTGTCATCCACAGCCTGCCAAATGATTAGAATATGTTAATTATTAGATCTCAGGTCATTTGATAAAACAAAGTTTCAGCCACTAAAACTACCAACAAGTTAAAGGTCTGTATGAAACTGGAAAAACAAGACCTGACAAACGCTTTATGCAGCCAAGTGACACAAACTTAAACAGAAATCGTGTTTGTTGAGGATATTAATAAATAAATGTTTGTTGAGGATATTAATAAATAAATGTTTGTTGAGGATATTAACAAATAAACTACACAGAAAGGTACTGCGGGGCTCTGATGCCCTTACAACGCACGCACCTTTCAGATGATTTACACCTAAGTACTAGATGCATTCTCAAAATGATGATTTCACCTTGACTCATTAACCTGAACGTTTTTGAGCTATAATCAATTTCAAGCACCTTTCAGGCCCTTTTTAAATATTCAAGATTTTTCAAGGATTTCAAGCACCCAAAGAAAGCCCACAACCCTCACCGTAATACTCTAAACTACAACTGATAATAACGCTTCATCTCCATCAACGGTAAGAATCAGTTCTAGACTGCTTCCTGTGTGTTGCTGTGCAGAACGTTGTAGCAGCAGCAGCAGCAGCGGGATCAGACGAGAGCTCAGAGACTTCAGAGGAGAACCAGGTGAGAAACTCGTTATCAACTCGTCTGGCCTGGAAGCTACTCCTGGAGAAGATCAACAACCCTACGTGTTTTTGGTTTGTGCAGGGTGTGGCTGTGGAAAAAGCAACAGTCGAGTTCAAAGCTGCTGGGGTAGACACAAACGCCGCTCCGGTCTCTGACAAAGGCACGAACAGCCAAGACAGCGACGATGATGATGATGATGAAGCAGAGGAGAGTGTGAGTAAACGGGAAAAATGTTAGAACGTTGAACTCATCTATATATTTGTTCTATGATGCTTAACGGCCTGTTTTTCCTTTGTGTGTGTGTGTGTGTGTGTGTGTGTGTGTGTGTGTGTGTGTGTGTGTGTGTGTGTGTGTGTGTGTGTGTGTGTGTGTTAAGTATGCATGTCCCGACAGTCAGTATCTTACCTGCAGTAGAAAGCGATCAGGTAGTAGAATCAGGGAGAAGATCCCAGGGAAGCTAACAGTTATCCAGAGGGGTTCATTTAGAAGCAGTTCTATTTTTAGAGTATTTCTACACTTTATCTTTTCCAGTTTTCTCAACCAGTTAGCATTACAGCTCTTTGGGAAGCCCGTGCATCACGTGACCGCGGCTTCCACGGCGGTCACGTAACGTCACGTGACACGGGAGATAACGTTATATTTTATACGTATTAGTTTCAATATAAATATATAACGAGCTTTTTACTTTTTAAATTGTGTATATGTTTGTTAAATTAAAAATATAAGTGAGTTACTACCCGCTAGCCACCGAAGCTGCAACTACTAAGCTACTAACCAACCATAGATAACTCCTTTGGATCTAAAAAAAAATTTAAATTAGCTGACTTACTTTTAAATTTGAAAATTGTCCCCGAAGTAGCTGCCGGCTTTTGAACCGCCGTCCTTTTGAAAATACAGCCGTGTATTCTGGGAAATTTTTAACCAAGGCTAGGCTACAAGATACCTCCCGTGTATCGTCGCTCAGCTAGCTAAACGGCTAACAAACAGAGAACACGCCTCGGTAGAACATGAACATTGGAACACGTCTTGGCGGTTCCTGATGACGTAACTCCTAGGCAACCAGGGCGGGGCCAAGACATCAAGGCGAGGTTCCTTGGCATTGAAAAACACCCATTGTGTTTCAGGAGGGGGAGGGGTTGGCCCATGTGGTGTTTGGTCATGTGATGGTGACAATCAGGGGTCAGGGAACCGATGTACTGCCTCAGATCGAACGTTTGTAGAAAATTTTCGAAATTCATTCTTATGAATGAAATTTAGAATGTTCGCACGATGATGATAAATCCCACCTGTGCCTACCCAGGTGCTCGTGTCCGTTCTCAGTCATTTACATACAGGAACGCCCTCAATTAACCATATTGGTCACGCTACGTCCTCAGCTTGTGAGGAATAGTAGCTGTTATAAATAATAAGTTGTAGTTTTCATTTCAAAACCGCTGCATATAAGTATATATATATATATATATATATATATATATATATATATATATATGTATGTATGTATATATACACACATACACAAATACATATATATATATATATATACACTAAACTGTATGTATGTACGGTACAGGCCAAAAGTTTGGGCACACCTTCTCATTCAATGTGTTGTCTTTATCTTCATGACCATTTACATTGGTAGATTGTGACTGATCAGAACTATGAGTAACAAGCTGCTCATGCAACACGTTGTGGTTTGCAGGAAGCCGAGGAAGAGGAAGACGAGTCAGACTCTGACTCGGAGTCGGGTGAGTCCTCCACCCCCGCTCCCGGTACAGTCAGCCCTGTCGTCGTCACCGTGGAGCCTTTACCTGGAACCACGGTGGACACCATCTTGCCCACCATTGTCACGGACCCTGATGCAGGCCGCGGTGACAATCTGGGAGGATACCCCGGCGACTACAAATCTATCGTCTATGTGGAGGAGAAGACCTACCACAAGATGTCTGGTCCTTACAAGTCCTACGAGTTTGTTGACAGTGGAAAGAAGACGGGCTATGACATGACAGATGGTAACGAGGTGGAGAAGTCACCAAAGGTGTACAAGGTACAGGTCAGTCTTTATTCACAACCTGCTGTAGAGTAAAACCCATCATATGACATCGGGAGTCACGAACCTTTTTGACTGTTGATTTTTTCAAGAATCAAACAAATCCTGAAAAGAGATGAAACTTAATTTGAAAAATACAAAATTCATCTAAAAAAGATTTTATGAATGAAAGTTAAAGGCTTTTCTGAGATGTACTGCTTAGGGAAGATTTTCAGATAGTTGCTAAACTTAAATAACTGATGTGAAGGCCGCTTAGACGTTTCCACCCGCACCGACCTGGTGATAGCCCTCTCTTAACATGACCCCTCGGTGGTGCTAATGAGGTGAAAATCAGATAATGACCTTAAAGAGCAAGTTACCCCCTACCAGAGTCTTACTCCACTCCCACTTCCTGTTTGAAAAATGCAACAAATGCTGTTGCCTGGCAGACCAGGAGGGCGGAGCCTCTGACAAATATACACACACAGGCTCAGAGACATTGTGACATCATAATGTACCAGCTAATGTCAAAGTGTGCCTCTTAGCCAATAGCAATGGCAGATTAAAATTCAAATGCAGTGCAGAGTTTTTACCCGAAGAGGGCGCAACACTGACAGTTTTAGGCAGAATATTTAAATTTTAACTAAGAGGCACTAATGTGCCAAATTACTGACTACATGTGTCTACAGCAGGATTAAGCTTGGTTTATGCTTGACGCGTCCCGAGGTCCGCGCGGCGAAACTGCGTCATTTTAACAACCACGCCCCTCCACCGCTCCTCCGCACGGCCCAAACTTTCCGCACCGCGCACCTTTTTTAACCACGCGGACGGTCGGACGTGGAAAAACATGGCGGACTGGCAAGAACTAGTATGGCAGAGGTTCATAAATACAGACATTTGTATGATTCAGCTCTCAGAGATCACCGTGATCAACATGTTGTTAATAATTCTTGGAGAGAAATAGCTCGCACTGTCGGAAAAGACGAGGACGCTGTTAAAAAATGCTGGAATGCCATGTAGTAAACAACAGTAATTTCTACTTCTACTATGGTGTAGTGTTGGATGCATGCCGTAGAGCTCCATGCTGCCCCCTACAGTTTGGGAGAATATTGGCTCACCGCAGACGAGCCGCATGAACCATAAACGCTGCGAGTTGTGAAGTGCGTTCCGTCCGCGAGCCGCATCACCAAGCGGAAAGTAAACACGTCAAGCATAAACCAAGCTTTAGACACTCGTTTATAGTTTATCAGCAAAAAAAGTTTATTTGGGGGTGACTTGCTCTTTAAATGTGGGGATTTAACTTGATTTGTCCATGCTCTGTCCTTCCAAAATAGATCAACAGGTATTTTTGCTTCAGCTTTTTCTCTGCATTTCTTTAACTTTCATGTTTTCCTACCTTCAGGCTTTTCACACCCAATCCCAACTCTTGGAGGAGGACACCAGCACCCCGGAGGTGGAGACCCAAAGCCTTGATGTGTCCTCAGGCACATCCCAGGATCAGGACATCAGCCACCGCCAGGCCTCCCTTCCAGAGGAGGCCAGCACCACCTCAGAGAGTGACAGCAGCAGCACTCCGGAGGAAGAGGGGGAGGAGAGTGCCAGCTCCACCAGCAGCAGCGCTAGCGCAGAGTCCGACGACGAGGAGAGCCAGAGCAATGAGGAGACGACGGCCACGCCCGGAGCTGCTGACAGCGACTCAGACGAGAGTGAAAGCAGCGAGGGTGACTCAAACGAGGAGGGCGAAGGACCCGACGCCACGGCCGACATGCCAGCAGTCCTCACAGCCAAATAAACCACAGAGGGGGCAGAGCCTCATCCCAGTGCAAAGACCTCCCCCCTCTCCTGAGGCCACTCCCACTGCAGGGTCAAACAGGGAAACCTAGACTCGTGAATATTAATACTAACCGTCACCATTTTGCTGATTATTTCTGCTCTTCTTTAGAAATCTGATGTTTTTGTTGTGGTTTATTTAAATGAAGCCATGAATGCTGCATCCGTTCATTAGAGCTAATAAATCTAAAGTGTGGTCTAGAGTTTCATGTGGTGTTGATAATGATGGCTGCTTCCTGAGGTTACCTGACCATGCTGTCGTTGTCCTCCTGTTTTCTGCAGCGGCAAAACGTCCAACCTGAAAAAGAAAACACGCAAACTTTAGTTTCCCAACGACTCTAAAACGGCCACCCACGCCCGGTCGTTTTGGTGCTTCTGCAATCAAATAAAACACTTGCAATAATTCTGAGTATAAAACAAGTAAAACTTGAATTTAAAGCCTCACATTCTGTTCCTGTAAGGCAAAGCCTCCGAGCTCGCTCGTGACTAGCTTTACTGGTGTAGGTGTAAACAAACAAACAATCATTACTGTTGAGGGCTCTACTCCTTCATCAGTCCTGTAAACACACGGTCCTGTTCATTTGCACAGTTTCTACCTTCACCACGTGTTTCTCCCATGTTGTTTACAGTCATGTGTATCATAATGTACCATTTCAAAAATATGAATAAAGTTCTTTTTCATAGAAAAACAAATGGTGGTTGTTTCTGTTGGTTTTCTGTTGAATTATTAATAAAACATTAAGATAAAAACTGAATGTATTCCGTAATGATGCACCGATATGACATTTTTGGGCCGATACCGATATCCGATATTGAGATCACTCTTATGGCCGACAACCGATATTTGCCGACACCGATAAACTGACATTAATGCTTCTAAAATCAGCAGATTTAGTAAAGAATGAAAATTATTAAAGCTGAATTTACGTTGTTATGTACAGGCAACACACAGATTTACAGTTCTGAGATGATTTCACTCACTGTTCACATGACTAAACAATGTTGGTGAATATTAAGTGAGTTTTTGGAACAACTTTGCAGGAAGTGCTTGTGGACATGGTACAGGTCTATAAGGAGCCTAATGGGCCATTCCCATCTGTACCGGCCCGGGCCGGGTAGCCCCAGTCGGCCCCAGCCTGGCCCGGTTAATTCCACACATCCTTGCCTTAAGCCCATGTGGTCTGATTCTACCCACCAATCAGAGGCTTGCTCTAATGGAAGGTGTGAATTTGCTGTCAGCAGTGGGTGTGTTGGCCCTGGTCGGCCTGAAGCAGACCCCCTCGAGAAGAGGCCTGAGAATAAGCCTTGGTTCGTTCGCGACCGACACATCTCTACATGGTTGGAAGAACGAAAAAAGTTAATGCAACGGGGCTAAAAACGCTATTTTCTAATCCGCTTTGCCTTACGCCCTGGATCACACATATGCTGTACTGCAATTTAAATGAAAAGTAATGATGGGTGTTTCAAACATGCCAGTCACGTACTTTGAGATTTATCAGCTTGTAAAAGTAGTAGCTACGACCACAAATTAGTTCTGGCCAATCAAAATCATTACGTGATGACGTAACTTCCGTAAGCTTCATGTTCAGCCACTCAACTACTTTGAAGTCACTGGCAGTCGAAGGACCCCGAGCCGATCCTGTACCGACACCGCCACTGTCCATGGTACAGAACAAGCAGAATTAGAAAATAGCATTTTTAGCCCCGTTGACTTGCATTCATGTTTTTGTTCTTCCGGGGAACCATGGTCCAGAAGAAGATGGGCATGACTTAGGCTCCCTATTGAGTTCAAGCATCGACATAAATATACTGGACAATTCCTTTCCACAGGCCCCAATATCACGTTTTTGAGGCCAAATGGGAGGTGGCCACCACCGCCATTTTGACCGTGTCACAGGTTCCGTCAAGCCCAGACAATTCCACAAAAGGGAAGAGAGGAGGAGATGAGGGTGGGGCTGTAAGGCTGGGATCAACTGACGACACCCGGTCGAACTAGCTACAAGCTAACCTGAAGCTAACCCAAAGCTAACGCGGAGGTGGGAGCAAAGCTAACGGAGGTAGCAACCTAGCTACAACCGGAGTTAACTGTGCACAACACCAGAGCTTCTGAGTCAGAGATACGCCGGGCTGACCACTGGGTAAAACCGGGTGGAACACAGAGGTCTCCGAGACCTCCACAAGCCGGCAGCCGGGCAGCAGACAAGCGCCGCTGCAATCTGAGATGCGCAGAGCTGCCGCTGGGGAGAACCGGGTGGAAAGGTTTCCATCCCAGAGCTCCACAAGCCGTCAGCCCGCGCAGCACACAGAAGCCGCGATCAGACAGAGATGCGCCGAGCTGCGGGGAGGGGAGAACCGGGTGGAAAACATCGGTCTCCCGAGAGCTCCACAAGCCGATAGTGGGAACCCAGCTCCACCAACATGTTATATTTCAACCCATTTTCTAAAGTGCAGCATTATGTTAAATGCACTGGGTTTTACCCTATTACATTTAAATTTCATGGTTAAACAGTACATGTTAAAATCTAAGCTCAGCTCGGCAGTGACCTAAATTACATAAATATAATTTTACTTACCGAAAAAAATGAAGTGGAGACTCCTTGGACGCTCTATTAGTGCAATTAATGCCACAGCAAGTCATATTGTCCAACAATTACACAAATAATATCCACAAAAGAATACACAAACACAGAGACTCAAAATCCCGGAAGTTTCCAAGCCAGACCGAGACTCTACTGAGGCCTTTCCACGGAGCTAGCTCTGTGGTCACGTGTGTCTGATGCTCATTAATTATACAGAATTTTAGGCTTTTAATACACTTAAACAGAAGAGTGAGAAAAAAATTCACCCCCCTCAGAGTTGTCATGAGCGTAAACTAGATCATTGAAACCAAAAACATGTTTTGGTACCAGGCTGTAAACATGTTTATTTCTGCTATGAAATTGGTATTTTTAACATGGGAGTCAATGAGGATTTGCTCGCTTCTGACACCAGCCCCCAGCGGATGAGGGTGGAACTGCAATTTTTGGTACTTGCGGGTTGAGTCGCATTGTGGGGGCTTGGGTTCAAACTGTGTGACGCATAATAATGGTAATTTGGCGTTCCCTGGTGGTGATAAGTGGTAAGTGCATCTGAAAAGAAAAGAATGTGTCCCACCAAAAATAAAAATAATTCACCAGCCGTCACAGGTTTTATAACATCAGTAGCAAGTATTCACATAAACCTGTAACATTTATGTTTGAACAGGAAGACTAGCATGTACTAATTAGACATGCACGGGGCATTCTGCACAAAACAACAACAAACTAAACAGGATAACACCCTCTAAAACATTATAAAACGTCATGGAACTTACGTCTGGCCCTTAAAACGCACCCAGGACAATAATAAAGCTAAGTCTATGTCGTATTTTAGCATATTGCCGCTCAGGAGCACAAAGAGCTAGCAGCTGCTGCTCGCCTCGCGCTCACTCCAGCAATGATGCGTTCAGGGTCGCTCAGACATACGGCAGTTTGCATGAAGGCTTTGGGACAGAATCGATGCCGAATCTTCATAAATAAGAATCTTCATGTGGGCCTGAATGGTTTTCCTCAGGCACCTCTGTAGCTACCATCATCAGCAGTGTATGCATGTGTGAGTGAGTAATAGTGTGCGCTGTGTGCACCTTGAAAGGCGTTTTAAATCTAATCCATGCTAAATAATTGTTTACAGCTCAGATTTTTACACTGACATCAGCAAAAACGTTAAAAAAAACAAATTTACACCCGTTGCCTACAAGGAGGAGGTGGACGGTCTGACTGAGTGGTGCTACACAAACAACTTGCTGCTCAACACTGAGAAGACTAAGGAGCTCATCGTGGACTACAGGAGGAATGCTGACCCACATCCACCCATCCACATTAAGGGGACGGCAGTGGAGCGTGTGAGCAGCTTCAAGTTCCTGGGAGTCCACATCCCTGAGGATCTCACCTGGACTACAAACTGCTCCAAGCTGGTCAAGAAGGCTCACCAGCGCCTCTTCTTCTTGAGGACTCTGAGGAAGAACAACCTGTCCTCAGACATCCTGGTGAACTTCTATCGCTGCACCATCGAGAACATCCTGACCAACTGTATAACAGTCTGGTATGGGAACTGCTCCGCCTCGGACCGGAAGGCGTTGCAGAGGGTCGGGAAAACTGCCCAGCGCATCGCCGGAGCACCACTTCCTGCCATAAAGGACAGCTACAGGAAGCGGTGTCTGAAAAGGGCAGGGAAAATCATCAGAGACCACAGTCACCCATCACATGCACTGATCACCCTGCTGCCCTCTAGTAGGCGCTACAGGAGCCTCCGGACTAAGACCACCAGGTACCGGAACAGTTTCTTCCCAACAGCTGTCAGACTCCTGAACTCTGCCTCCTGACATATGACCCACGTTAAACTCATGGACAGCTTGTATTAACTACAGCCTGTACATACTTGTAGTCATAGAATATTCATAACATACGTCACACCGTGTACATTATAACATACGTAATAGATGCATTTCTGTAATATACTTACACATCTACATTATTGCTAAAATATATTTTAATACATCTAGATCACGGCTAAAGCACTTTCTGGATGGATGCAAACTGCATTTCGTTGCCCTGTACCTGTACATGTGCAATGACAATAAAGTTGAATTCTATTCTATTCTATTCTATTCTATTCTATTCTATACGAGATGCTGGACTGTTCCTCAGACAGGCTCATGGATGCATCGCAGGGTTGGAGACAGGAACAAGCGCTATTCAGCCAAAGATTCATAATCAGGAACATTTTCTAAGTGACTCGTCTCTGAGAGACCGGGTTTAGAAAACACAGAATCTTCCTGCATGGTTCTGGTTCTGCGATGCGCTCCAAGCCCCCGATCTATCTTCAGTTCGCTGTCCACATTACGCACCGAGCTCAGTGTCCATCTCGGATGTTCTGATGATGGGAATCTTTTCTTGATTGGTGTAGCTACCTCCACGGTGTGCGTAACCATTAAAATGTCAGCACATCTGCAGGCTTGAGATTTCTCCGTCAAAATAAATACGGGGAACATCGGGCCAGTGCGAACCCTGTCATGTAACCGTTTTACCTTCTAGTGAAGATTGTTGCACACAGGAACTTTAAACCTGATTAACACCAGAGCCACGCACACTGCACCGTTATCTCCGTCAGTGTGAATGAGGGAAAAACTAAATGATTGGATCATTTTCAACAATGTTTAATGCAAACTTTAGTTCAGTACAAAGTAGAATTACAACAGTCCAACCAGACAGAGCCTGGATTTGTATTCTGACCAAACTGAAATTCTCTGTGTTTTCCACCAGATGGCAGCAAACCAGTTCCGGTCCACCAACCTTACATCAAAGTTCAGAATCAAAGGAAAGTCTGACTGAGAACTATAAAGTGTTGTCAGCAGTGAAAGGTTAGGAAAAGTGATTCAATTCAAAAATACTTTATTAATCCCAGAGGGAAATTGATTAATACCCACATGAACTAAAATATCTTTTCAGACACTCGTTTATTTATTTATTTCCATATTGTCGTTCTTTTTTTAAAACACAGAAACGATTTATTACCTGTTTTTGATGCTACGGGACGTTGGTGGACGTCTCCTATTTATTTATTTATTTATTTATTTGTTTATTTATTTATTTATTTTTAAGCTGCTGAAAACTCACCTGTTCAGGCTGGTTTTGGTGTGACCCTCATCTTCACCTCTCTTTATTCTGATCCCGGGATCCGCTGATGATCTCTTTCTTATTCGTTTCCTCACAGTTTTAGAAAATTTTCCAAATATTTAATGATATTTTAAAATGACTTATTTTTTAAATAGTTTTGTTACAACAGTTTTATCTTGACAAGTGCTATTTAAAAGATTGTTTTCTTTCTTTCTTTCTTTCTTTCTTTCTTTCTTTCTTTCTAACCACAGGTCAATGAGCCCAGACAACATTTTAATGTGATCCTTTACTTTCTGAACACTGAGACGCCAGATAAATTCATACGTTCACCACGGCAGGTGAAGCCGCTGCGTTTTTATTGGCTCGGCTGAATGAAGCGAGAAACTACAGCACATCAAGAGTCATCAGCATCCTGCTCATCCTACACTGCTGCAGGTTTTTGGTTTTTCTTTTTATCATTTAGATGAAAATCATGACTCAAGCAGAGCTTGTACATACATGATTACGTATTCATCTCCATTTACTGTAAGACGTCTGGGTTTCATTGCATCATCATCATCATCATCCTCATCATCATCATCATCATCATCATCATCATCATCATCTCTGTAAGACAGACGACCAACATCATAAACAAACCGAAACTCTGTTAGTTAACATGAAATCTGACGGCGTTTAAAAACAGAACCAAGAATGTTCTGTTTAATCGGGGAACAGATAGATTTATGACCCATAAGCAAACAAGCCCATTGTGGTAAGGAGTCTGTCAGCAACATGAACCCGACACACCCACGCCGGCTGTGGGCAACATTCTTCCAACACCTCAGAACATCAGCCTCATTTCATCAGATTTAATCCCACAGACTTAGCAGATGTTTGAGGAACAGAGGAGGAGCCAGATTTTCCCTTCACCCGGGGCTTAGCCCCGATGCTGGCTGTTAGCCAGTAGCTAATGTGAATGCAATAAGACTGTTGAGGCTAACCATCATGAATGTAAAGAAAACATATCAAACACCAGGACTGCAATGGTAACGGTTCAAAAGCAGGACTTCAGAACTGGAACTGATGCAGAACAAGATGTCCATGCATCACGAAAGACCCAGGGCTTCTGCAAAAACAGCTCGGGCTTCAACCCCATAAGCCCCCCCCCCCCCCCCCCCCCCCTCCTGCTCTGCCCCATTCAGGAAGATCTTTACTGATTTTCATCACGGTTGTAAGACATTGTTTATTGAAGCTAAACCAACTTTAATCTGAGTGTGAAGACTTGGGTTTGTACATAAGAGCTGCTCTGTTACAGTCTGAGGCTCTGCAGGTTAAAAGGTCACACGAGAACACGCGTTAGTAACACAAAAACATGCATGTAAAACATGAGAACATGCATGTAAAACATGAGAACATGCTTGTAAAACATGAGAACAGCATCAGTAACATGAGAACATGCATGTAAAACATGAGAACATGCATGTGCAACATGAGAACATGCATGTACAACATGAGAACATGCATGTGCAACATGAGAACATGCATGTAAAACATGAGAACATGCTTGTAAAACATGAGAACAGCATCAGTAACATGAGAACATGCATGTACAACATGAGAACATGCATGTACAACATGAGAACATGCATGTAAAACATGAGAACATGCATGTGCAACATGAGAACATGCATGTGCAACATGAGAACATGCATGTACAACATTAGAACATGCATGTGCAACATGAGAACATGCATGTGCAACATGAGAACATGCATGTAAAACATGAGAACATGCATGTACAACATTAGAACATGCATGTAAAACATGAGAACATGCATGTGCAACATGAAAACATGCATGTAAAACATGAGAACATGCATGTGCAACATGAGAACATGCATGTAAAACATGAGAACATGCATGTACAACATGAGAACATGCATGTGCAACATGAGAACATGCATGTAAAACATTAGAACATGCATGTGCAACATGAGAACATGCATGTGCAACATGAGAACATGCATGTGCAACATGAGAACATGCATGTGCAACATGAGAACATGCATGTAAAACATTAGAACATGCATGTGCAACATGAGAACATGCATGTGCAACATGAGAACATGCATGTGCAACATGAGAACATGCATGTGCAACATGAGAACATGCATGTGCAACATGAGAACATGCATGTAAAACATTAGAACATGCATGTGCAACATGAGAACATGCATGTGCAACATGAGAACATGCATGTAAAACATTAGAACATGCATGTGCAACATGAGAACATGCATGTGCAGCATGAGAACATGCATGTAAAACATGAGAACATGCATGTGCAACATGAGAACATGCATGTGCAACATGAGAACATGCATGTGCAACATGAGAACATGCATGTGCAACATGAGAACATGCATGAGCAACATGAGAACATGCATGTGCAACATGAGAACATGCATGTAAAACATGAGAACATGCATGTAAAACATAAGAACATGCATGTGCAACATGGCCGGTCAGAAGCACTCAAGCTCAAACACTCTTTGTTTCACTTCTTACGTTTATTTTAACACATTTCTAAAGAAAACAAAGACATACTGAGAAAATCTGATGAAGTTCTAATTAGTCAGAACTGTCCCACGGCCGGCGGGACGTTGGTGGACGTCTCCTACATGTCTCCTCGGTTCTGTGTCACTGGAGCTGGAGTTGGAACCTTCTCAGTAAAACACAAGGTGGTGTTACACGGCGTGGTGACGTCAGGGGCGGTTCCCGTTTCCACCGTCGTGTCGATCACCATCGCCGTCGGCCCGCTGGTGCCCGCCGTGCCCGGCTCCGGGGTCATGGTGCTCCCGTCTCCTGAGGTGGTGGTTGTCATGGCGACTGTTGTCATGACCACTGTGGGTGGACCGGTGAGGACGTCGGGACCTTCCTCGGAGGAGTTCGACTCCTCTAAGGAGTTACTCTCTGTAGATTCTTTGGAGTCTTTGGAACCGGTGCTGGAAGACGACGTTTCAGTCCCGGAAGTCGTCTCTTGACTTTGGTCCTCGTCAGGAATGTCGGCATCAGGAGGCGTCTGTTGGGAAAACACAGAAAGTTAGATGTTACTTGTGTTTAAGGGAGAAATATTCACCTAACAAAGTAGAAACATTTGCAGATAAATTTGTGATTTCAGTCGATTTTATCAGGATGAAGCATCCATTTACTCAGATATTAAACACAAAATAAACCGTTTTTAGTTCCATTTGTGTGATTATAATAAATGCTCCAGTTTCACAGTCAGATCAAGTTTTATTTAAAATAAAAAGATTCATCTTTGTGCAAAGCGTTTAAAAATGATACCGAATGGAAAATTAACACAAGATGTTCATTTCTCATCATCATCAGGAATAAACACTGAATATTTCAGATTAACTGGATTAAACCTGGGATTAATTTAGTTCTAATTATCATTCACTTTTCTTCTTTATGTTGAAGTTGTGATTTGGGCAGTTCTCAAAAATAAAATGAAAAGACTAAACAGGAGTAAACCAATTTTGTTTGAGTAAAATCTCATTATAATGTAATAAAAGTGGAGTTTGCAGCTCTTTTTCTTACTGGTTTTGCAGAAATTATCACCACAAGAACAAAAAGGAGGGTGATTTTCAGAAGCTCCATCTCTGGTTGTTTACAGTCTGTGGAGGAGAAAACAACACAATTATTCTGACACCAAACACGTTGACCTGATCTAAAGGTAAAACAAATCCAACGCACCTTTCCTCCTGACTGACTCACTTTGCTGTACTCCTTGGTCAGAAATCGCTGCAGAGCTCCATGCAGCTGGTATTTATACACACCAGTTTGGTGTTGTGTAAGACTGGTTTTCCTGGGGGTGGGTGGGGGTGGGGGGTGGGTTGGTGGGTGCTGGGGGCAGGAGGTTTACCACATGATCCAGAATAAGGAAATTCATGTTTGACATGTTCACATCAGTTTGAACCATCAGAAACAAACTCGAACGTAAAACATTTTTTGATATAAAACCCAAACAAAACCAGATTCCACCCGAGTCACCCGCTGCTCAAAGGTTACGGAGGGAAGTTACTCAGCCTCTCATCACAGAGCAGGATTTTTCCAGCTGATTGGATTAAAAGCTGATTGTTCCACTCTTCAGAGGTCGATCCAGAATTCCACCCGACTGATTTCACTTATCTGTGCTTCAGACCAGCTGACCGGCACACATTCCTGTGAGGTAGACAGGATGCTCAAAGTGGAAAATTAAACATTTTCCAACATTTCCTTCTTAAATTGCATCAAAAAGCGAAGGGTTCAAAGGTGAGAGCAAACTGTAGAAAACAGCTTTATTCGGTATTAGTGGCGGGTCAGGGTTAGGGTCCGTGTTCGCATTTAGTCAAGAGTGAGGTAGTGTCTTTTGTCTTTATTTTATTTCAGCTGCTTATCAAATTATGACTTTATAGCAACTAAAAGGTCATCTTCATGTCAACGGACTCACCTCTCACAGCTGCTGGCTTAGCTAGTGTAGCTACTGAGTGGATCACACGGTCAATCATCAGGCAACAAAGCTGCATTTCAACTAAATGCTAATTAAAACGACAGCAACGATAATAAAGTACTTCATCCCCCGTCTGGCGGGTGAACTGCTTGGTAAAGCGTCGTAAACGTTAGTGGAACACACGCGTAACTGAAACAGTTACCCGAACGGGAATGCTTGAAGGAACGGGGCGACGGTGGCACGGAAGTTAAGCGCTCACTCTGCAATCGGAAGGTTGCAGGTTCGAGCTCCGCTCAGGTTGTCACTGTCGTGTCCTTGGCAAGGACGAAATTTTCACTTAAGAAGTGGGGGGGACACGGGGGGGTATCTTTGCAGTATGTTCTAATGGGAAACAGGCTTCAACACAAACTGTTGTTTTCCGCTTGGTCCTAGAGCTCAACCAGTGTCAATTTAATATAGCGTAATATTGTTTTTGGATGGTAAAAAGTGCAGGGGTCAAAACTTGACTTTGGAAAAAGTGGGGGGGACATGTCCCCCCTGTCCCCCCCCCCCCCCCAAAATTACGTCCATGGTCCTTGGGCAAGACACTTAACCCCTCCTTGCCTGCTGGTGGTGGTCGGAGGAACTGGCAGCCTCGCCTCTGTCAGTGCGCCCCAGAACAGCTGTGGCTGCATGGTAGCTCATCACCATCAGGGTGTGAATGGGTGAATGATTGTGTTGTAAAGCGCCTTGGGGGGCTCCAGGACTCTAGAAGGCACTATACCAAATGCAGGCCCCTTACCATAATGGTTTCATTCTGTTATTAAAACACTGAAATGCATGAGATTTTTCTATTGGCTGATTTTATTCACCGAGTACGAACATGTTCTTGGTCTGGAAGGTAAAGGGTTAAAACAACAAGAACACACGTGATCTGGTTTGTTGTTGTTTCCATTTCGGATGCAGGAGTCGGTCTCGGATTTAACGTTTCACAGAGCTGGTGAATCAGCCAGTTAGTTTGGTTTTGGCCTGGGTGTCGGGGCGAAACCCTTCCCTGATGATTAGGTTTGTACTCACGCTGAGACTTCAAACCCTTATCAGAGCTTTGATTGGTTGGTGTGATCCAAGCATTGATCCACTCGGTGTCACATGCTGAGGCGGAGCGGGCGGCGAGCGGATCAGAGGTGACGAGGAGACGTCTGAGGAAGGCGATGATTCAGCTCAGACTGAATTTAGGAGTGGAATCTTACAGCAGAAAGCCAACGAAGCCCGAAACTGTCCCCGCCTCTCCCGCCGCCCCGTCTCATTGGGAAATTCTCTGTCGTGAATCACGAGCAAGTCGTGAGGTGGTGTCACGTCCGGACACAAATCAATGCGTGGAATGCTGCAGCGTGACAAGTCAAAGCGTCGCACTTAAATCAAAACAAACAGCCGCTGCAATTAAAGTTTCCATATTTATTTTATCACATGTGAGTCCGAGACAACACACACAGGCGCCTCGACTTCACCCTTTATCCAATTCCTGTTTGATCAAAGGAAAATCAGCCGTCTGGAACGTCTCACGACACGTAAACACCAAACCTGCCGATCGTTGCATCAGAGAAGCACCTCTAAGTGTGACAGCACGCCTTTAGCAGGACGAGGCATCAACCGTACAGCCGTCACGTCCCACTCAAACCTTAAAAAAACACAAGTAGTTGGAAGGATTCAGGAGCACTGACGGCAAAATGCCGAGTCAGCGTGCACGTCACCCACCATCTCTGTGGTCACCGGCAGGAAGTGAGCTAATTTAGATCCAGACAAGTGAAGAATCACTTGGAAGCCTAAGTTAAACTTTGTTCCTGGTTGAGTGTTTGTCCTCAGAAGTTATACTTTAATCTTTTAGGAAGATTAGGAAGACACTGATGGTGAGCTCACACACTAAACACTGAGAGGGACAATGTGATACGAGGAGGAGGGGGTTTGCTTCTCTGTGATCGTCTCCAAGTATCGGTCCTCCTCCACCTCCCTCACCCATGGTGTCCCACAAGGTTCTGTGCTGCGGTCTCCACTGTTCCTCATTTTTCTGCTTCCTCTCCATGAGATGCCGCAATTCTGGATTAAACGTTTTTCAGCCCAACTGGCCTGCCAAATGGTGCGTGGCACCTCTGATGTCACCCCGCTTCTCCTCCAGCTTCACTGGCTGCCAGTCAACTTCAGGGTTCATTTCTAAATCCTGGTTCTGGTCTATAGGGCCTTACATGGACAAGCACCATCTTACTTTGGTGATCTTCTTAGTCCCTACACCCCCAGCAGGTCCCTGAGGTCCAGTGATCAAAGCCTACCGCTTGTGCAGCACCAGGCTAAAGGTCAAAGGTGACAGATCATTTGCTGCTGTGGCCCCCAGACTCTGGAACTCTCTCCCCCTGAGCCTGAGATCAGTGGACTCAGTGGTCTCCTTTAAAAAGCAGCTGAAGACTCACTTGTTCAAGCTGGCTTTTGTATGACCTTCTTCACCTCTCTCTCTTTATTCTGCTCTCCCCACCTATTCCACCTTCCTCAGGATCCACTGATTTCCCTCTTTCCTGTTCACTCTCTCTCTTTCTTAACATTTTTTCTTTTAAATCCCAATTGCTCATTCTTGCTCATTTTAAATATATTTTTAAATATTTTCTAAATTCTTTTTAATATTTTTACATTTTTTTAATTTTTTGTTTTTGTGAAGCGCCTCGTGATTTTTATCTTGAGAGGCGTTATAGAAATTATATTTTCTTCTTCTTCTTCTTCTTCTTCTTCTTCTTCTTCTTCTTCTTCTTCTTCTTCTTCTTCTTCTTCTTCTTCTTCTTCTTCTATAGGGCCTTACATGGACAAGCACCATCTTACATTGGTGATCGTCTTAGTCCCTACACCCCCAGCAGGTCCCTGAGGTCCAGTGATCAAAGCCTACTGGTTGTGCAGCACCAGGCTAAAGGTCAAAGGTGACAGATCATTTGCTGCTGTGGCCCCCAGACTCTGGACCTCTCTCCCCCTGAGCCTGAGATCAGTGGACTCAGTGGTCTCCTTTAAGAAGCAGCTGAAGACTCACTTGTTCAGACAGGTTTAAGTGTGACCTCCTCATCACCAGCGTCTCTTCTGCGGTTTTGGTCAGTTTTCCCTTTTTAGTCTCCCTTGCCTTTTCATAATCTTGAGAGGTGCTTTACAAATAGACCGTTCTTCATCTTCAGCGTGACAGCTCTCTCTTTTGCACTTTCCTCACTCTCCGTCTCTACTGTCACCTCTGAAGGAGCCCGACTCGTGTCCTTCGCTGTAGGTCATTGTTACCCTGAAGGGTCTGTTACATTTCGCTGCGCCTCCCGTTCTCTGGATCTGCCGTCCGCCTCTCTCCACGAGCATGAGGTGAGAAAAGAACCAGAGAACAGTTAACCCAGTAAAGCGGATGGTATTCCCGTTTCTGTGGAAGTGAGGTGAATTGGCTGGGATCTGCACCAAGGTGTTATCCTCTCCCTGACCCAGACCACCATCCCCACAGGTCTGAAAACCATCTTAATTCCGTTGTCTCTCTGTAGAAAATAGCTTCTTCTTTAAACATCTTCTAGATAAATAAACGTGCTGCTTTCTGTTCTTTCATCCTGCACTGAAGTTACTAACTGGACTTCATTGTGTCCATGTTGGGGGTTGTAGAACCCTAAGAAAGTCATTTACCATAAAACCTCTCAGAACGTGATCTCCAGCTTTCGCTGGAGCGTTTCACAGACGAGTGTGAAGCAGCTGGGATGAGAATCAGCTCCACTAAATCCCAGACCATGGTCTTGGAAAAGGTGGAAAAGGGCAGAAAGCCTTCTCCTGGTCAGGGATGAGATCCTGCCTCAAGTGGAGGAGTTTAAGTATCTTGGGGTGTTGTTCACGAGTAGTAGACCCGCTGCTCCTCCACATCGAGAGGAGCCAGTTGAGGTGGCTTGGGCATGGGGTTGTCACGGTGTGAAAATCTAACCTCGCGGTTATTGTGACCAAAATTATCACGGTTTTTGGTATTATTGCGGTATTTTTTTTAAACATGTTACATTTTCAGACAACTAAATAAACCCTGTATGTCAGGAAATATTGTCTCCAGTTTTGTCTAAATTTGGCCTAAAATGTGTTATTTTGTAATTATGTTGTTTATTTGTTTACATTTTTCCCCTTTAGTCTTTAAAATACCAATATTTGCCCATAACTTATTATTTTTTGTCTGTTTAATGTCATCATTTTAAAAATATTAGATCAGATGTTACTCAGTATTCAAGTAGCCTTCTAATCAGATACTTTTTTACCCTTACTTGAGTAATAAACCCTATATCAGGAAAGTATCATCCTCGGTTTGTGTCCTTCCAGTGAGCTTTGCAGATGTGGGAAAATGTCATCAGGCAGTAATCAT